AGATATAAATTGGAAGACCCGACGGGTGCAGATATAAATTGGAAGACGCGGCGTGAGCAGAAGTAGAAAGTGTGGAAGACGCGTCATTTTAAAACCCATTGGGGTTAGTGAAATAAAAGACAGCAGAACGCTGGGAATGAAGTCCCCCTGCTGACCGAATGAGCAACAAAGTTCTTTAATCTGTTGATGTTTGTGTGAAATACAAGGCAGCAGAAACGTAACGGCAAGAGGAGTTGAGCAGCTGCGGTTCTGAAGACCTCAGGAGCTGTGGTCGGAGTGAGGAGAGCTCTTGGGCGTACAATCGGAGGAGCAGCTTCAACAATCCAATTTCTAAAAAGAAAGAGAAAACTGTGATTTTAAGGTGTATGTGGTCATTTTCCGCAGGTTGATTTAAAGTGATAATACACCCATTTTCAGTTATCAAACAGGTTATAATCTTAACATACAGTTACTCTCAGGAGGTCACACTTTTAACTTGTACTGTGTGTGCATTTGAATCAATTTTGTTTCACAGGTTTACAGCAATTGATTCCTGGGTATAAAACAACTATAATTTTGGTATTCAATTAAAGTGTAGACTATAGGTGATAAGTTTTCCAAGCTTCTCCACAGGGTCTACTAAAATTCTTTCAGGTTGTGCTGAGTTGACATTTTGCTGCAGATACTGTAAGTCTCAGGTTCATCCATCATAATCAATTTTCATTTTCAGCAGGGACGTAGCTATCATGGTTCTCAATTCAAATAAGCTGTTGGCTGCTGGTGGAATACTGGGGGTGCTGATGGTTTGTCTTATTTTGGTGCTGGAGTTTACCTGTGTCATTCCAGGGTTAAGTCGGTGTCGCACCAAGCCTGTGAAGATCAGGAGAGAGAGACCTAGGAGGGGAGCGTGGTCCACGATTCATGATTTCAATCAGTTACCGTTGAATTTGTCCCATGCTTTTCAGATGAACAGCTGGTATCGTTATGCTCAGTTTTTAGCCAGGGGGCGCCATAACTCGGAGTGTTATGTCTGCACCAAACTTCCTGTCACAGTTGCGCATTTGCCTTTGCGTGTTAAACCCCTGGCTAGAGGGTTATCATTTTGTTTTCTGCAATACAGCTCCAGTGGACATAGCAGAGGTATGCACAGATGTGAGGCCAAGTGCTACGGTCTGACGCAAGCAGCACAAGGCGTTGTGCTGAGCCAGTATGTGGAGTGGACCCCTGGTGAACAGTTTCCCATCTGCGTACACCGACAGCACAGGCAGGACTCTTATCAGGTGGCGGTGGGCATGTTGCCCCCGGAGAAGTGCCAGGCAATATATCACCCTGGTAACCGTCAAATTGGGGTACCTGGGAGTAATGGTACATTTCCTGTTGAAGATCTGGCTTGGTTGTGTGGACATACAGTGCTTTTAACTCTTCCCAGTAATTGGACAGGAATCTGTGCACCTGTGGCAGTCACAGATGAATCATTTCTGGTGTCTGTAAGTAATGGTTCTCATTATGTTAGGCAAAGAAGGGACGTGGGCATCAGGCCGCACGACGCTATTTGGGGGTCAGATGTGCCAGACAAGTTCAAGCACTGGACGGTGGGTGAGAAGATCATGTTATCACTGTTTCCATGGGCGGGCATTGGAAAGCTACTTTTAAGGGTTGAAACCTTAGACTACCATTTTGGGATTTTCATTAATTCAACAATTAAGGCGCTGGAAGGCATCTCTGAGGAATTGTCAGCTTTGAGGGTAATGGTGTTGCAGAACAGTATGGTCTTGGACTTGTTAACAGCATCTAGAGGTGGGGTGTGTGAGGTGATTGGTAAGGAGGCATGTTGCACTTACATCCCTGATGAGACTAGTACAAACCCTCAAGGCAGAGTAACAGAGGCCCTAGCACAACTGAGAGGTTTGCAGAAGGCTAAAGGAGAGGACCCTCCAGCAGGGTCAGAGGGATTTTTGTCATGGTGCATGACGGGGTCATGGAGTCAGGTGCTCCTCAAGCTGTTAGTTCCCCCTCTTGCTATAATTGTTCTGTTTTGTGTCTTGTTGGGTTGCGTTGCACCGTGCGCTAAAATGGCAGTCGCACGGATGATACACTTTGGAGGTGTGGTAAGCACCGGTACGGCATGTCCTGTGATCCAGGCCAGTGAGGACTCCTCCCAGCCAGGACGAGACCACCTGCAGTTGGCTGAGACAAAATATCTGTAGCCTATGATGGGTTGTTGGTCTATCTTTAAGGATAGACCAAGAGAGGGAATGTTGGATTTCATGTTTTATCTTTTATTATTATTTTAATCAAGCTTGAAATTTCATGTTATAAAATGAGTGTGTCATTCTTTGAAGGTTTTTTATTACCTTACAATCATTTAAGTATTAATCAGTTACTTTGCTTAAATAGAATATTAACTTCAGGTAGTTTGCTTAAATATAATCTATTAGAAGTTCACACTCACACACACACATACGCAATCACACACACAGGGACCGACACGCACACACACAAGATGAGAGACGTTAAGAGTCTCTGAACACATTTCAATGTAGTTTGCTTAAACTTAATATAGCTGACTAAACATAATTAGTAAAGATAATAGAACTTAATATAGCTGACTAAACATAATTAGTAAAGATAATAGAAAGTAGCATTTAATCGTTTAACAAGTGTAACAAAGCTAACAAAGGACCATAAACCTTATCTTTCGGTATGTGACCGCCAAGACTTATCTGCCAGGCAGAGGAGCCCCGTAACCATGACAACGGGGTGTTTAAACCAATCAGAAGCCGTGGCTGTAGAAAACCTAGGAATAAGGAACAGAGTCAGAGCAGAGGTCGTTGCATTTGCTGGAAGATTGGCGATGATACAGGTCTTTCTGAGAAATGCCCTTTGTATGCATACAAATGTAATTGTTTTTGATCTTCTGAATACTTGTAATCCGTTGTCCAATAAATCTTTTGAACTAAGGTACCGCTTCAGCTGTATTGAACACCAATGTGGTTCTTATAAGCCACGACAATACGCAGAGTCACCCACGATGTAGTATCCAGTGGTTGCTGTGCCAATGGGCCCGTTATGAGCTGGAAATAGGTTGCCCCGCATGGCAAGCTCCCACAGTGTGGACAATCTGATAACTCGGGCATCATGAAGGCTTCCTGGCATTCCAGCAAAAACATTCCAGAAGAGTCCTTTTCCATCCACAACAGCTTGAAGGACGATGGAATGCCAACCTTTTCTGTTGAAGTAGTCTGTGTGATATTGTTGGGGGCAATGATGGGTATATGGCTGCCATCAATAGCACCCATACAGTGTGGGAGACCCCACCGGTTCTCAATGTAAGTGGCCATTTCTCTGAACCTCTCTTCAGTAGGCATGCGTATTTGTTCTGGCACAAGCAATGTCTCAGCTGCTGCACAAAACTCATGTACACACCTGCACACCGTCATGACGCCAACTCCAAAAAGATGTCCAACACTACGGTACTCTGAACCTGTTGCAAGTTTCCACAGAGTTACAGCCACTCGCTTCTTTACTGGCACACGTTGGCGGTATGTTGTGTTCTGCCTCTCCAGAGCTGGACGTAGTTTGTTGCACAGGTAGTTAAACGTTTGTTCAGACATCCTGAAGTTATGCAGCCACTGAGCGTGCTTCCAACACTCTCCTGTAGTGCTCCAGACTGTTCGGAGAGGGTAAACACAGCCTGTTCTGGGTTTGGATTGCTGTTAAACGTCTGAACAGCAGTTCTCTTCGACGTCTGAAAATCTCTTTTCTTCTACGTTTGAAAATGGCTTCTCTACAAAGTCTCCTTCCTTCTTGTACTCTGAGAAAAAGCAACAGGCAGAGCAGAACGTTGAAAAAAGCAACAAGGTCATCCATTTTGGTTGTGTGTGGTTTTCCGGCTCTTCTTCTTCTAATACATGTTAGTGGTGCTTAGAAAAGAGCTTAATGCAGCACTACCGCCACCAGCTGGTAAGGTGCGTTGATATTAATAATCCGCCCACTAGAGGTGAACAATCTGCCCACTAAACAGGGTCCAACAAGAACCAGACCTGTGGATAAGGGGCTTTAGAGACTCCGTTCTCCTTTCCCAGCCTCTGTCAGGGCAATTGGCCTGACACAAAAGAGTCAAAGTGGGGTAGAAGGGGGTGTAATGGGGCTTTCTGGGGCTGGGGGCTTCTGGGCTTATCGAGTCACTGGTCTCAATACAGTAGGGGCAGTCAGGTCACTCGTCCTGACAAAGTGGGGGCTTTCATCAACCAGATCAATCCCAATTTTGTCCAGTGATTGGTTCAGCTTTTCCGCTGGCGTGCAATCTTCTCTCAACCACCTGATGAGGTCCGGTCCACCTCGGTTCAGCTCTGTAGGTGTCTGTCCACCTCGGCTACTTCCTCTTTTATAATGACATTCAGCAGTACCCACTCTGCTGTGTGGGACCTCCCAGGTTCTTCTCTCTCCTTCTGTTTTGTCGCCTGTGAATGAAAGCCTGACACCATGGTTCCCAATTCTTCAAAATATGATTTGTACCTGTATTCCTCCATGTCTTCTCCCAAGGTTTGAGCAGTTGCTGGACCCAGAGACTGCCTTCCTTTTACTTGCCACCTGTAACACAAAATCTGCAAACATCTTCTGCATCGTTGTCTAGGGGTCTGTCTTCAGATCTTCTCTCATTGTCCTGTCTACTTTTATCCTAGTTGGGCAACAGTGTGGTTCTCCATAGGTCATGTGATATTCCCTGTGTTTAGTTCCTGTTTGGTGCTTGTAATGTTTTTTACCAGCCTTTTCTGTAAACTATAACAATAGACTAGCCTAAGCAAATAACCACATTCCAAACTCAGCCTAGTTTCAGCCCTCTAAGGCATGTGACTGTATTTTCTATCTCTTCTACTAAAAGGGTTTGTCAATATAAAATATTTCATTATTACTTCTACACTGTAATGGCTTTATAGAACAACATAAATCACATTCCATTCATACTTTCATCCCCTTTTTTCACGTTTACAAATCTGAACTTCAAAAAGGATATGTTGGATTTCTCCAGAGTCCTTAATCTGGATCTTCCTAGAAGAAGCAAACTTATCAGAGTCAGAGTCAGAGTTTCTTTATTGTCATTCGCACCTCATGTGGTACATGTGGTGGAGCGAAATTATGTACACGGGGTCCCAGTTACATCCGACAATAAAATGTATAAGAAAAACAGTAATAACATCTAAGATATGAACTAAGAAAAACACCAACTAAATATACACTAAGCACTCATAACATAAAACATTGAATATCAGCACAAACATGAACATGAGTCTGTGAGCAGATGTGCACGCATGAACACATCAACATTGAAACAGATCAGCAGCAACAGGAAACAGATCAGCAGCAACATGATATGGTTTTTCACAGCGATTATTCTAGTTAGAGATTCATGAGTCTAACAGCCTCAGGGTAGAAGCTGTTCCTCAGTCTAGTGGTTCTACACTTAATGCTCCTTAACCTCCTTCCTGAGGGGAGTGGGGCAAAAAGTGTGTGTGCTGGGTGGGTGGGGTCCTTCATGATGCAAGTGGCCCTCTTCCTGCATCTGGAGGTGTAGATGTCTGTGATGGTGGGGAGGCTGATTCCGACAGATTTCTGTGCAGCCTTCACCACTCTCTGCAGAGCTTTTCTTTCTGCAGCTGTGTAGCCTCCATGCCACACATTGATGCTGGAGCACAGGATGCTCTCCACTGCACACCTGTAGAAGGAGGTGAGGACTGAGCTTCCCAGACCAGCTCGCCTCAGCCGTCTGAGGAAGTAGAGTCTCTGATGAGCTTTCTTGATCAGGCTGGTGGTGTTGTTGCTCCAGCTGAGGTTGTCATTCATGTGTACACCCAAGTACTTGTAGCTGGAGACCACTTCCACCGCAGATCCTCTTATGTTCAGGGGGGTGTAGGTGTTTTTGTTCCTTCTGAAGTCCACAATCATCTCCTTTGTCTTCTTCACATTGATGTGAAGGTTATTCTCTCTGCACCAGCTCTCCAGGTGTTCCACCTCTTGCCTGTAGCTGGACTCATCATTGTTTGTGATGCATTCCACCACCGCTGTATCATCTGCAAACTTTACAATGTGACAGCCTGGATGGGTAGCTGCACAATCATATGTGAGCAGAGTAAACAGGAGGGGGCTCAACACACATCCCTAAGGAGAGCCAGTGCTGAGGGTTATGGTGGAGGAGGAGAGGTTGTGGATCCTCACTAACTGTGGTCTGTTTGTTAAAAAGTCTAGTACCCAGTTGCAAATGGAGGGGCTTAGTCCTAGTGTGGATAGTTTGTCCATCAGGGTTTGGGGGATCATGGTGTTGAAGGCGGATG